TTCGACCCCCCCCCCCCCCCCAATAATTCTGAACTTTGAAAAGTTGGTCAAAATTTTTGAAAAGTTGGTCAAAGGAATTATTTAAATATTAAACGAAATCTTATATTATTTACAAAAATTTTAGAAAATCCAAAAAAATGTTCGGAATTTTAGAAAAAGTTCTTTGATAAACGGAGAAAATTTGTGATATCCGAAAAAATTTTAATGTCGCGAAAAATGCGATAGGTCCGGAAATTTTTTTTTACCCCTAAAATGGTACACTGACCGAAAATTTTTTCGAGAAAAATTTTTTTAAACACGAAAACGTTGGTCATTTTCATTGAAAAAGTTGGTCATTATGGTATGACGCCCCCCCCCCCCAATCTGGAATCGTTCGCCACGCCCCTGCTCACACTCAGAGTGTGGAGGTTCAATCTGAGCTTTCCCCTTGAGCTTTCCCTTGAGTGCCAATGCTGTTTTCTGAATAACTGGAGGGTTAGTGTCGTACCTTACCATGTGACTACCCACCCTCTAGCTATTCAAAAACAGCATTGACACTCAAGAGAAGCTCAGATTGAACCTCCACTCTTTGAGTGTGCTTTTAGAATACAGGCGTATATCACAGACGAAATCCAGTGACAACAATGGTCAACCTCAGGAGATTTTCCCAAAATCTCCGGAATGAAATGGTAAGTCACATATACATCACATTATATTTATACCGTCTATTACTAAGCCTTCCTTACGCCTGTTCGACCTTACTCTCGTTTCTCCAGCAGTCTTTCCTTCTTAAGCCACTAACGCCTGTATTCTAAAAGCTCACTCACACTCAAAGAGTGGAGGTTCATTCTGAGCTTTCCCGGAGTGTGAATGCTGTTTTTGAATAGCTGGAGGGTGAGTAGTCACATAGTAAAGTACGACACTAACCCTCCAGCTATTCAAAAACAGCACTGACACTCGAGAGAAGCTCAGATTGAACTTCCACTCATTGAGTGGAGTGAGTGGGCTTTTAGAATACGGGCGTAACCCTCGAGCTGTTCAAAAACAGCACTGGCACTCAAGGGAAGCTCAGATTGAGTGTGACAGGCGTATATTACAAAAGTCACCGAACTGTGGAATCGCATCAAAAATTCGTATCGCCGCAACAAACATCTAACGACCGCACCTACATATTTTTGCATGTTTACAATTCTAATTTTAAACAGCCAATCGACGCGTAACTGTAAATGTTACCAAGAACCGGATCGGCTGTTTAAAATTAAAATTGTAAACATGCAAAAATATGTAGGTGCGGTCGTTACACGTTTGTGCGTGTGGCGGCGATACGAATTTTTTATGCAATTCCACAGTTCGGTGACTTTCGTAATAATTCCCCGACGAAACGTCGACGTTCTCCTTGTATTTTTCAGGTTGTTGCGTCCCAGGGTTCGTAGTCTCCAAGACCAAAAAATTTCAAAGACTTTCAAAGATTTTTTCTGCCTATTGTCAAAGACTTTTCAAAGACCTTTGCGAGCAATCAGGGGTCGAAAAATTGCGATGTATAAGCACCATTTTTACCAGGTAATTAATCCCGTCAAATCACATCCTAAAATGCACTTTTTCGTCAAATTTTGCTTCAATCAATCTATTTTATTAGTTAGAAAATCGTATAATCAAATAATCATTAAAGAATTTAAAGACTTTCTTCGCTTTTTCACACACTTCAAAGACTTTTCAAAGACCTTAAAGACCTGCATTCAAGTTTAAAGACTTTCAAGGATTTGAAAGACCGCTACGAACCCTGCATCCCTATCATTACAAAGCTTTCTTATTAATGACAACACCTGGCAGATCCTTCAAAATTGTGTAATATTGAAAAAAACATACCACTGAACTCAATTCGTGTTCTTTCACCAGCGCGAGACAGGAATTATAACAGCTTTCCAACTGTCGCTCTCGCTCTCCTATTGGACCAACCGTATGAATCACATCTACACAACATGAAGAAATAAAAATCCGCTCCAAAATCTCGTCAGTCGCGGCTGGTTTTGCGAAAGTCAGCTACAGTTTAATCCTAAGTTAATGCACCAGTTCATTAAGCAAATATTCCAAGACAATTAAGAAAACAACTATGACACACACAATGTTGTGGGAGAAGGGTTGTCTAGGAGAAATGCTCCGATTATACTTTAAACTGTGGCCAAAGTGTCGCCCGGACTTTACCCAAGGGGTAGTAGCTCCCCGAGATGGGCTTCCCAAATGTCCAAGCATAGGCGTACCGGGCGGGGGGGGGGGGGCGTTAGCCCCCCCCAGTTTTTTGGGCAGTCGGGCAATATTCGATTAACAGTCGGGCAATTTTAGTTTGTTATAAAAATAAATCGGACCAATCTCGTTCCCAGAGTATGCCTGTTCGCGGGTTAGGTTGTGGCATGACTCTGGGGAAATCGAATTTATTTTATCCAAAATGAGATAAATGGCGCATGCGCTTTTATTGCTTATGTTTATTCCGCTTACTAAATTCGCGCGGGC